TTATAATATGCATATCATGGAGAAGGGGTACGTGGAGCACTGATGATAGGTCAGGGGGTACGCGAGTAAAAAAAGGTTGAGAAACGCTGCTCTAGGTGGATAATACCCAGAATCGAGGTAGTGGATAAACCTAATCCTCTGTACTTTCTCGATGGTGGCAATGTGCGTTAAATAAGATGGGGTCCACACAATGCAGCAATATTCAAGTTTACTCCTTACCAGCGTAGAATAAAGATCTATTATTGTTTTTAAATTCGTAAACTCCAACGTATTTCTAGTGACAAACCCCAACGTTCTGAGGGCACCAACCGATGTTCTGTCGATATGTTCATTGAAGGACAAAGTGTCATCAAACCACACTCCAAGATCCTTTACTGTTGAGATACGCAACAAGTGATCCACTCCAAGCACATAATCGAAAAGTATGGTATTACGTTTTTGACTGTATGTCATTACCTGACATTTAAGAGTATTTAAAGCTAATTTGTTCTCAGAACACCATGAATAAAGTTTATCTAAATCTAACTGGAGTGATTCACAGTGCTGCTCACAACTAATAGATCTAAATAGTTTCAGGTCGTCTGCGTATAAGAGTGAATTCGTGTTGAAAATCGCAGGTAAATCATTTATATAGATGTTGAACAGCAAAGGGCCATGTATAGATCCCTGGGGTACGCCACTAGTAACACGAATCTGTCTTGACTTCATACCACTTCACTCAACGTATTGTCTGTGATTGGATACATACGATACTAGGAGTCGTGTGAGAAAGTGATCACATCCCAATCTCCACAACTTTTCGGCCAACAAATCATGATCCAAGCAATCAAAAAATGTGTATAATTAGTATATAATATGCATTATTTTGTAATAACTGGTAGAAATAAAAATATTTCAGTGTACCTATATGTACATATTAGTAATTATAATATGTATATCATGGAGAAGGGGTACGTGGAGCACTGATTATAGGTCAGGGGGTACGCGAGTAAAAAAAGGTTGAGAAACGCTGCTATAGGTGGATAATACCCAGAATCGAGGTAGTGGATAAACCTAATCCTCTGTACTTTCTCGATGGTGGCAATGTGCCTTAAATAAGATGGGGTCCACACAATGCAGCAATATTCAAGTTTACTCCTTGCCAGAGTAGAATAAAGATCTATTATTGTTTTTAAATTCGTAAACTCCAACGTATTTCTAGTGACAAATCCCAACATTCTGAGGGCACCAACCGATGTTCTGTCGATATGTTAATTGAAGGACAAAGTGTCATCAAACCACACTCCAAGATCCTTTACTGTTGAGATACGCAACAAGTGATCCACTCCAAGCACATAATCGAAAAGTATGGTATTACGTTTTTGACTGTATGTCATTACCTGACATTTAAGAGTATTTAAAGCTAATTTGTTCTCAGAACACCATGAATAAAGTTTATCTAAATCTAACTGGAGTGATTCACAGTGCTGCTCACAACTAATAGATCTAAATAGTTTCAGGTCGTCTGCGTATAAGAGTGAATTCNTTCTTTTTTTAGTCTTAAATTCACAACCTCGGCTGCTGAATCAAACAGGCTTGATGGCTGTTTATAACTCATCTTTTTATAATTTGATGTTTATGTTCTGGTTTAGATTGAACTAATTCTATAATGTCTTTTTCACCACATTTTATATTAATTTTCTATCTGTCCTATTTCCCGATGTTGTCATCCGAAGAAATTTATCTGTTTTTTTGTGGTAATTTGTTTTTCGTGGTATTTCGTTTGTTCGTCACTGTATTTTTTGCAGATGTATTTCTCAGTTGTGATAATTGCGGTTTTTGTGGTTTTACTTTATTATGCACGTGTTATTTTTTTATTTTATTATCTATTTACTTAGAATAACATTTTAATCAGTTGTGTCCCACAGATTGATTTCATCGGTTCTATATCGGTTAAAAATGGAAAATTTTAATCAAATTGGTGCGTCATTGAATAGTAAACTTGATTTACTTAACAATATATATGCAAGATCCAGTAAAACCTTGGTTAGAGTCTCTCGTTTGGAGTGTAATAGAGTATATCGTATAATAGGAATTGAGAGACATGTTAATTCGAGTAGTACATATCCCAAAGTTTTAATTGAATTGGAGGATTTTAAAGTCTATATACCTAAATGTTATGAAGATGAGATATTAAAGGATGATACGTTTACAATTTTAACATTTTCAATCAATTCTATCGGATTGATCTTTAAAGGTTCTACCTATCTAATGGATATTTTAAATTTTGTAAATTTAAATGAAGTTTAATTTTTTTTATAATGTGAGTATTTCTATTGTTTCTCGAACTTTCCTTTCGATAATCTTTATTTTTTATCTTTTTATCTTTTACCAACAGTTGCTATGGAAAGTTTGTTAACCACAAGCGGAAATGCGCGTGAAAAAACAACTATATTTTAAATAAAAAACAATGTATTAAATGAAAAAATTTATTTAAACCAATAAAATGTATATTTAATCTTTACAATACATTTTCTTTAGAAATCCAACTGTTCTGAGACGAATCAAAACCTAACCATTTCACGTACAATCTATCCCCTTTCCTCCTTCTTAACACTTTTTCAACGAGATAAACGTCAGGTTGTTTAGATAAATTGAGCTCAAATTCGTAAAATGCTCCTGAAATGGGTTGACCATTCATATCCTCCAACAAATATGTTACAGGGTTTGTTATCTGAACTTTAGCAATTTTAAACAATTCAGTAGTCCAATTTGGTAGGTATCCTTTATCGAAAACATCGATAACGACCGCTCGAGACGACGCGCAATTTCACAGAACGATACACCCTCAATGTGCATACCCACAAATATTCCTCGCTCAAACTCGCTTAAGTAACGCGATCGCCCATCCATTGCGCACAGAGTACGATAAGAATGTGGTCTCTCACACCACACTAAAAACGACCGGTATTTTCCATCCACTTTGGTCTCCATAGCGACGGAATGTTCCACTTGGAAGAGCGGCTCAGTCAAAAATGCCGCGACGGAACAACTCGAAACTCGTGAATTATTTCCAACAGTGTATTATCTGCGATTGGATACATACGATACTAGGAGTCGTGTGAGAAAGTGATCACATCCCAATCTCCACAACTTTTCGGCCAACAAATCATGATCCAAGCAATCAAAAGCCCGAGAAAAGTCGGTGTATATGACATCTACCTGCTCTCGACAGTCTAATGTATTCGATACGTACTGAGTGAAACTGAGTAGGTTGGTGGCTGTGATTTTGCGTGTTACAATCTGCTCAAAAAGCTTGGAAAAATTATTTATGATGGCTATAGGTCGATAATTTGATACGCAGCATCTATCACCTTTCTTAAAAACAGGGCAAACTCTGCTCAATTTCCAAATTTTTGGGAATTCAGAATTTTTGATCATTAAATTAAAAATATGCTGAAGAGGCTGTAATAATACAGGCGCACAGTCTTTGACTATACCGGGTGTCCCTCAGAAGTGGCTCACCCCCATATTTTTTTTTATTATTAGTGACATAAAGAAAACTATTTGGAATGCATAATTAGGCCATTAAAACGGATTATTACGACATGAAATCATTCTCTTTTAATTTCGCTATCTATAATTTTTTCTTCAGTTGGGTAGACAACATAATTTCATATAACTTTTACTTGAAAAAAGTTTCACGATCGCGTATAATTTTTGCAAAAAAAAATTATTTTCTTTTTCTATATTTTTTGTTCCTTTACACTAAATCTTCTGTAGCTGATAGTAACTTACAATGTACAATGTCCATTGTACAGGGTGTCCAAAATTCGATGGATTTGCAGGGTATCTCAGTTATTATGAAAGATAAAAAGTTGCGGCTTTCGCGAACCTGAGCTACTTTTTTGTGAAACTTACAATGCCGCAAACCAAATTTTCATAGACCTCTTCGTTTTTGATATACAGGGAGTATTTCAAAATTTACGATTTTCAGACACCCCCCGTATCTCGGCTATCCGGAAACTTAGTAAAAAAGTAAAAACGGGTTCTAATAGATTTTTTCACGGAGAATCCAATGGTGCACGTAGAATTTTTCTAGTCATCACGGTTTTTGAGTTATAAACACAACTTAGGTTTTTTTAAATGGAACCACCTATATTTTATTTTTTTATTGAACTGGATTTTTTTCAAGCTTTTCAATGATATATAATACTCTATACTTACCTTTATAATTAACCTCGAAATTGAATAAAATACATTATTTTATAAGTAGGCAATGATAAATAGACTGCCTAGCCTGACGTCACAGAGATGGGCGGAGCTTATATCGACTCCAAACAATTTCGTTGCTAACCACAGTTGCTAATGATAAACCGTAATAAAAATGTCATAAAAAGTCACTTAGTTTATTTTATTTTAACACTAATTGAAAAATTGCATATGGTGATTTACCGTTAGCAACACACTTAGCTATGAAAATGTTTGGAGTCGATATAAGCTCCGCCCATCTCTGTTACGTCAAGGCTTAGGTTGTCTATTAAGTGATCGCGTTGCTAGGATACCGGAATAAACAAAGTAAATATAGTTAATTACTGTCAAACTTAATTTTGAATTTTGTGCTAACAATAAGTCGTGTGTTACTTAGGCCCACTTTTACCACCTCCTGTTATTCTTGCTGTTATCTTTAACCTCATGTTATGTCAAAAATCGTCTTTTACCACCGTTTTTATGTTACTGTTAGCGTTGACCTACCGGTTATTTTTGGCGTAACATTGACAGCCGGTTTCGGTGCCTGTTATCGGTCTGACCGGTAGGTTAAAAGTGATTCAACTATTTCCGCGAGGTGGCGTACCGTTCAAACAACACACGTGTGTCAAATTCATAACCTAAAAGAAACGAGCGGTGGTTGTGTTTGTATTGAAATGGATTTTGAACGTGAAAGTAGCAGTGACGAAGAGATGATTGAAGATCTGGAAGAAATCAACGAATTATTTCCTATTCGTGGTGGCCGAGTCATGAAAGAAAGAATCGATCATGTTCATCATTTATCTGACGCCGAATTCGTAAAGAGGTTCCGCCTTTCCAAAGAATGTTTTCATCGGTTGTTGTCAGAGGTTGAAGAAAACATTAAACCACGAACGGAAAGGTATTGTATATTGTATAATTTAGTATCATTTGTAAAATTAAAGATATTATTTTCTAGAAATTCAGCAATATTTGCCTCAAACCGGTTATTATTAACATTAAGATTTTTTGCTACGGGTAATATGTTGCTGGCTGTGGCTGATTTTTGTGGGGTCAGTGAAGCTGCAGCATCCCAAATAGTGAAGTTGGTGGCAATAGCCATTGCCAATTTAAGACCCCAATACTGCAAAATGCCGGAGGGTGACGACATTGGAAAAGCGCAAAGAAACTTTTATAACATTGCTCGATTTCCTTTGGTTATTGGCACCATCGATTGTACGCATGTACGAATTCAATCGCCAGGTATTGTTAGAAATATGATATACCAATGTATATCAAACATTTCTTATGTTATATTTTAGGTGGAGACCAAGCAGAAAATTTTAGGAATAGAAAAGGCTATTTTTCCTTTAATGTACAGACGGTATCGGACGCAAATCTGAAAATTTTAGATATAGTGGCTAGATGGCCTGGATCCACGCACGATCAAACTATTTTTAATAATAGCAGTATACGCAACAGGTTTGAACAGGGCCATTTTGGAAACGGTATATTGCTTGGGGACAGTGGGTATCGCAATACGTAAGTTCACACTGTAAGAGAATTATAATAAACATAGTAAATGAACTGTTCCATTTTAGAAATTATTTGTTAACTCCCCTTGTCGCACCAAGGACAGAGGCAGAGCGTCTCTATA